TTCATTTCTGTAAGAATATTTGACAATGAATAGAGGTTTATATTTTTTTTATTAAAAATATTTCATTTGACCTCACCATCATAGAGATCAGAGGCTGCTTATTTGAGGTCTTGAAGCTTTACGTTTATAACCTAATGCTTCTCTGACTGTTATAGCTGTGATTCTTAAACTCATCAGCTATAGCAAAAAAAAGTTAAGAGAAACTATACTGTTTTTGATTAATTGTTATAGATATAATTTCAGGTGTTTAATAAGTTGATTCATAAAAATATGCAAATATAGATTATATATAAAACTGCATGGGACAATAATACTGGCAGTCTGCTGCTCTTCATAGAAGATTCAACAAACAATTAGGATGCAATTAATAATTAGAGTGTCATGCACTAAACCTTCAAGCTCCAGCTTTCACTTTATGACACACAGGGATCAAGAATCAACATATGAACCTCAACCGTGGTTGCTAAAAAAGAAAAAAGCTGCATAGTTCATGCCGCAATGCATGCTGGGTGCCAGCATAGTACAAAGCTCCCAGCATGCATTGCAGCATGAATTATTTTGCAGCTTTATGTTCTTACAATCTCTTTATTTTCCTGTATTTTGTGTTGTTTTTGGGAGGTTATGTTTCAGTAGAGTGTTTTTTTACTTGATTTTTATTTTTTTGTTTGTCACCATCATTGAGACTCAAAGACTAATTATTGATGTCTGTGTGTTTTTAAGTGCTGTTATAGATCAAACATTCTCATTGTAAATGGTGTTTTAAACCTGTTATAAAGCCATTAATTGTTGGAGCTTCAGTTGTTTCATTTGTGTATATTATTTATTTCTCACACATAACTAATATGATACTGAATTAAAAAACAAGCAGGAAAGGATGGCTATGATATCATAAATAACCTCTTCAGACTGACACTTTAATTATCTTTTGACTTTCTATGCTATAGGTATAAATAGAGTGATTATCATTAACTATAGCAGCCAAAATAAAAGACTTTTCTAGCAAGAAGTTGAAGAGCCTGACTAAAGCAGACTCTGTCCTCCATCATGGTGACTTCAAATGAACGACAGAAATTTCATTAAGAGCTTTTGTTCACATGACAGAAATAAAGTCAAAGGTCAGTAATAGGTGAAGCTCCATGATAAGTTGTTTAATGTGATGAGTTTTTTTTAAAGATGTTGATAAATAACATTTTTTATTGTATAATTTGTTTTATTTTTATTGATTATTATTTTATTTAGAGTTTTTTTCTCTCAGTTGATTTCATCTTTGGTTTTGGCTTGTGTTTTTCTTTCCTTCAGTGATTCTGCTTGTTAACAGTTGTTTATCAACAATTCTCAATCCTCCTTTAATTAGACACTTAATTGTCTCATTAACTTCATCACTGTCTGAGTGTTCAGCCCTCTGTAGTAAGGACACTAGTGAGGATTTTGCTCTGGAATTTAAGGCAACTGCTGCCAGTATTTTGACATACATTTAACAGATATTTTACACAATAAGAGTTTGCTAATTAACACTCTGGGTGTTAAAAATTTTAACACTTTCAAAAATGTTATTTTAACACTTATAGTGGTTCCCATAGGTAGTTAAATCTACCAAATCTAAAATTTGCTGTTGAATGTGTTTTTAACAGAAATATTCTGTAAACTGAATTTATGAATGTTAAAAACAGCAGATTACTGGCAACCACAGCTGCTGGTATTTTTCCATAAAATCTAAAAATGAAAAAAAAGAAAGAAAAACAGCAAAACGGTTTTTGTGTCACCATTGTGGAGGATAATAGCGTCTCTGTTCAAGTCCAAGATTAATTGAGAGTATTTGATGTTATGCTGCATCTTCTTTTTTTTTTAAAGGTAACTGTATAGTTACTAATGCAGTCAAAATCTGTTTGCAATCACACATGAAAACATCATTGCATTTAAAGACTTCACACTTTTTTCTACTAAGCTATGATTTTGTAAACTGAACATTGTATTAGTTCATGAAATATGGTTATATTTGTAAGTTCATACAGTTATATAAAACTTCCATGTTTTTCACAGAAAGATTCTGGCAACTACAGCTGCTGGTATTTTTTCGGAAATGTAACAGATATTTTACACAATAAGAGTTTGCTAATTAACACTCTCTTGGTGTTGACAATGTTAACACTTTCAAAAGTGTTATTTTTAACACTTATAGTGGTTCCCATATAAACTATGAGGGAGTGTTAATTTTAACTCTAAGGTAGTTAAATCTACTATCTAAAATTTGCTGTGTAGAAGGGCATTAAATTACTGTTCATTTCTTTGCATTTTAACTTTGTGAACTATAAACTCAAGCGTCTCCTCACGGTTTGTCTCATTTTGTGAGTTAACTGACAACAACAGTTGTTTGCTTACGTTCTCCCCTTATGGCCACGCCCACTCCTGCCCGATGCTCGTGGAGCTCCACGCCCATTAATCATGCATCTTTTGAAAAAAATCTGAAGTAGACTTTAACCAAAAGTGGGGGGTGTCATGGCCCTTTAAAAACAATATAACTTGGAAAACATACTTTCCACAATGTGTTGGTGTGCCATTGATACAAACTGGGGACTTGAAGAGCAAGTGTCATTGTAGAAATGTGTCTAAACAGTTTAATATATTTTAAGTCTAGTATGGAAAAATAATATATAACTGTTGCACTTTAGTTTTGACTGATGACATCTGTTTAGAGATAAAACAGTGATTTAGTCCACAACAATCACATTCCGGCTTAACATTTAACAGCCACAACTGTCTATTATATAGTAGTGCCCTTTTTTGTTTGGGGTTACATCAACATAAATAACTTTTAAATTTAATTTAATGATTTAAAAACTCCTAAAGGCTTTACATATTTCATTACTGGATAAATATACACTATCTAACATTAATCTCGTTTTTTTTTTTTTTAGGTTGTTGGCTTAAGATGGAATCTGAGGTAATGGGGTAACACTTTTTTCTGCTATTGCTTTCTTGATAACATATACCACATTCAGGGGCTAGTTTCTTTGAGGGGGTAGAGATTAACCAGGTTCACATAATGAATATGGCTGTGTTCCCTGTCTGTCATTGTTTTAAGATTTAGGTGTATGCAGAGTTCCAACGGAAAACCAGAACCTGCCCAACACATTCTACTCTGTGCTTGACCAACACCTTCCTAGCCTAATGACCCTGTTCAGATAGAAGGCAGCCAGAACCGGGAAGATATCAGATACTTTAAATGAAATCCTAAGAATCCATGATGAACAGGTAAAAATATTGTTGTGCATTTTATAGGCTAAAACTTTATTAAAAGTTTGAAAAATTTGATGATTCAAATGAACTTTGAACACTACACCACTAAAACATTTTGAACACTTTTTTTGTATTTGTCTGGTTTTGTATATCTGATTATATTGTTTAACATTTACAGTTCAATTATATACAGTTTTCTTTTTATCGTTATAGGAGTTCCATGATGTGCACATCAAGTGTGTCACTGTTGTTCATGCTCTGTGTATCTACGTGAGGAAATCACTGGGTTTTTAAGGACCTGCATGGTGAGTATTTAAAAAAAACATTACATTACCACACCAAACAGTTCTTATACATACATGCATATATACATTCATTCATTTTCTTTTTGGCTTAGTCCCTTTATTAATCTGGGGTCACCTCAGCGGAATGTACCGCCAACTTATCCAGCATATGTTTTACACAGCGGATACCCTTCCAGCTGCAACCCATCACTGGAAAACATCCATACACACTCATACACTATAGACAATTTAGCCTACCCAATTCACCTGTATCGCATGTCCTTGGACTGTGGGGGAAACTGGAGCACCCGGAGGAAACCCACACGAATGCGGGGAGAACATGCAAACTCCACACAGAAACACCGACCCAGGAGAGGCTCGAACCAGCGACCATCTTGCTGTGAGGCCACAGCGCTACCTACTGCTCCATCGCGTCGCCTTACATACATGCATACAGTACATGCTTACTCTTATTCTGTCTTTCCAACCAAATAGTTTGTGCGATTTATTTTCTTTGAGCTCACTGTAAAATTATTTTAGTACTAAATTGCTTTAAGCAAAACTAAGCGTTTTCTTCTTTTTTTTTTTTTTAGCATAGTATCAATTTATTGCAACTTTTGTTTACTGTTTGCTAGGCTGACTTGACCAATCTTCTGTTTTTGCTTTAACATCTATTTTATCTTACAGGACACTGATGAGCTGATTTTCTGATGAGCCAGAGCTTACAGATGTTGCAGTGGCCCTCCTCGCAGTCGTCAAAGAAAATGACACAAGTTCAGTTCTCTTTCAACCTGTGAAAAACTTGTCATCGAGAGTGAGATTGTGAGCAGCCTCTCCAGATTCTTCCTGGTATTGTTTGGACTGATCTATGCACTTACACCTCAACTATCAAAAAGGACTGGCCAACACTTTTGAATTCATTCAAAAGATTTTACTTTGTCTTGACAAGGGTAAACTGTCACCCAAATTACAGAGTCTCAAAAATGATTTGATGCAAATGTAGGCCTGGCAGTTCCTCGAGTTTTATGTAATTTGTTTTTGTGAAAATACTGGTTAAAAGGTTTCTGCATTTTTTTCTCACAATGTGCATTTATTAATGTTATTTGTCATTAATGCAGCTCTTGTTTTTAAGAGTTGTTAAGTACAGCTGGGTAGTACTTTGTAACCATATAGGTAATTTAGTTTTAAAGGGGTGGTCCACAACGATGTCATATTTTAAGCTTTAGTTCATGTGTAATGTAGCTAAGTGAACATAAACAACATCTCTGAATGTAATATACCCAAAGTTCAATGCAAAGGGAGACATTAGCTTTTACAGAGTTAGCTTAGCAAAGCCTACAACGAACGAATTTTGGAGACTACAAACAAAGTCTTCCGCCCCCTGTGACATCACAGGGGTTCCAGGTTACGCGCATTTACTGCTCACACGCCTCGCGCTGCAAAGAAGCGTGGCCACAGACGCGTAAAGAACGGAAAATGCCGAAACGGTGCTATTTTCATGGATCTTGTTCTGCTTCGCTATTTAACCTTCCAAAGGACGTGACACAAAGAGAGAAGTGGTTAAAATTCATTTTTAATCATGTTCCAGAATATTACAAAAAAGATATCACTCTCTGTGCACAGCATTTTACAAAGGACAGCTTTCAAAATTGGTCGCAGTTCAGGGCTGGATTTAGCCAAAAACTTCTCCTCAAAGAAGGAGCAGTACCTACGATAAAAGACGATGCTGGGGATTGTGAGCTACAACCTGTAAGTATTTCTATTTGTTGCAATATCTTACATGCATAGTTTCTAGCATTCATTGTAGGCTATGTTGTAGTACGGACGTAAACCAGGATATAAACCACGAGAAACGCGGTTTGTCTTTAGCAATTGGTTTTGTCTTTGTCAATTGTTAGTCTTTAGTTTGTTGAGGTGGTCTCTAAGTAACAAAGTTATGAACCGGGAGGAGTATGGATCGGCGATCAGAAGCTATACCAAAGTAAATGCGCTAGCTTGTGTATGATATTACGGAAGTTTTCCTGTGGAAATAACAACGGGAGGGTGGCAGAAGATGAGTGTGAAATACGAGAAACTCTCGGGAAAAAACGGGAGTTTAGCAGGTATGATTTAGCTAACGTTACAAACATACGTATCGGTTTTATCCCTGTAATTATCCACGCTCGTCACCAGCAAACACGATGTATATGTATGCGGAAACATTGCGTGAGTTTTACAATTGAAATAGTGGAGTATATTATGTACAGACATCCGAAGTCTCCCTGAGGCGCCGCCACAGCCCCCTCCTCCCCCGCTAGCTATTCATCTTTGTCGTGAAATCTCCCACTCTCGCTTTTTCTGTACGTCGCTTTTCAAACTACTTTTATCAACTTGGGAAGGTTGTACATATACTGATAATGCTTTGAAATAGCCGCAAGTTGCTACGATGATGTACATCTGCTTAAAAAAACACATGCTGGAAATGTATGTTTTGCTGCAGGTTTCAATGGGTTTGCTGGTCTCAATATTGGTCAGGGCCAACACTGAGAACAGCTAGACCAGCACTGAAAACAGCATCAAAACATATCTTACTAGCATGTGATTTTTTTATAGCAGGGGTGGCAATTAAAAAATAAACAAACACATGCTTTTTATTTTTACCAGACAACATCTCAACAGGTTACCAGCTCCCCAGACCTACCTTCCACACCTACACATGTAGAAGTTGCATGTCAGGTAGACATTAAAGAGACTGTGACAGTAGCCACCAAAACATCACCAAATGTGCGATCAGTGGGTACACAAGTTTCTTTTCGTACTTTGCGGGACATCCATGTAAGAAGCAAAGGTATGTTTTATTTTATTATTTAAATATTTGCTGTTGTTTGTTTGTGCATTCTAAAGTTGTTTGTGTGCCAGGTATATTGTGTATTAAATAGCATGAATATCACAATTCCCTTTTTTTTAATAGGTATTCAGGCGAAAGTGTCTTGTCGTAATGTTGGCACAGAAACTATTTCTTTGCCAGATATGCAGCTCTCTTCAACACCAATTAAGGGTTCAATCTTTAGGCCAAGCAAGCGACCTCGTCTTTTGTTGGAGGAGGAGGATGACAACAATGATGATGAGGACGAAGAGTCTGATTTGCATGTAGAACCACATGACTACACTTATAATCCGGAATCTGTTGTCACGGAAGATTCACAGTCAGTGTAAGTTAATGCATCTTTATCAACAACTTTGTAGTATACAGAATGTATCATACTATTAAATATAAAATCATAATATTAAAACATTGATTACACTTTGTTTCATTTAGGTTAGATCCAGAATCAAACTACATGGACAACAAATACATTGTATTTGAAAGCTGCCTTATAGACTTGTTTGGTTCCTGTCCCGTCTGTAAGACAAAGTGTGCCATCCGAAAAAGACAAATGGGGACTTTTATTGCATTCACACAGCTGTGTGACAAGTGTAACTACCTACGACAGTGGCAGAGCCAGCCCATAGTAGGTAGTACTCCAGTCGGAAACCTGATGTTGTCTGCTGCTACATATTTCACTGGTGGATCATTCATTCAACTACAGAGGGTAATTTAAACAATAATTTAGTATTCTCAAATAATGCAACAGTAAAAATAAATGTTTATACATTTTAAATACAAATTTTATGTGTGCGTATGTGTGTGTATATATATATAATGACTTATTGCTTCAATATCTCCTTAGGTTTTCAAGGCCATGAATCTTCAAACGATTCAGTACTCTGCTTTCAGGAACCATGCCAGAAATTTTTTAGAACCTGCCATCATACACAAGTGGAATCTAGAGCAACAAAATATTTTTACACAGCTAAAAAAAGAGGGAGCGGTTGCATTAGCAGGAGATATGAGAGCTGACACACCAGGTATGGTGGGTTTATTTAAATCACTTTGAAATCTGATAAATGTATGTGTGTTAATGTATAATTCTTTTTTTTTTCAAATAGGACATTCAGCAAAATTTGGCAGCTACACATTGATGGACAATGAAACCAACAAAATTGTCTATCTTCAACTAATTCAGGTGAGTGTAAACACACAAGAACTGTTATACTTGTTTAAATTTGTAAATGTTTCTACTTATTTATTTGAACTTATGCGTACTTATCAACAGAGCAACGAAGTCGGTGGAAGTTATCACATGGAAAAAGAGGGATTAAAACGTTGTCTTGATAAGCTGGATGCTAATGGTTTAGCTGTTGACTACATAGTCACCGATCGCCATCCTCAAATTCAAAAGTACCTGAGAGAGCGTGGCATCACCCAGTTCTATGATGTGTGGCACTTTGAAAAAGGTAACAATATGTAATACACATGTATATATAAATATATGAGTAATATTACATTAGTAGCAAAAATCAAATGTGTTTAGAAAAATAGATAGATAGATAGATAGATAGATAGATAGATAGATAGATAGATAGATAGATAGACAGATACATACATACATACATACATACATACATACATACATAGATAGGTACACCGATAGATATAGCACACCGCTACTTATGTGGCAATACTTGTATAAGTATTATATTTATAGAAGCTTAGTCATGTTGATTTTTGTTTTTCATTTGAGTTTCTTGATGTAATTATTTTACAAATTTTGTTTTTGATTGTACAGGTTTGTCCAAGAAGCTTGAGAAGCTTTCAAAAAGGAAAGAATGTGAGGTGCTGAAAAGATGGTTGAAAAGTATAAAGAACCATGTGTACTGGAGTGCGACTTCCTCCGTGTCTGGCCCGGAAAAGGTTGCCAAATTAACATCCTTACTGAACCACATACAAAATATACATGTTCACAATAACCCGCTGTTTCCAAAGTGTGAACACCCTGATGTACTTTCAAGAGATCGCAAAAAATGGTTCCAACCAGGTATTTATCCAAAAAAAGTTTATGAATTTACACAATACTGGTTAAATGTAGAGCTGCTGTTCGTATTTCATGGCTGTATCATTACAGGTTCACAGGCCCTCTATAAAGTAGAAAAGGTTTTGAACAACAAGAGAGTTGTCAAGGATGTTGCAAAACTCAGCCACCACTATCAAACATCCTCACTTGAGGCATTTCATAGTGTGATTCTGCGTTTCACACCAAAGAATGTTGTTTTTCCTTTTATTGGAATGCTGTGCAGGTGTTTATCTTTGTTATTTTCATTTAAAATATTTATACAATAGTTGTTACAATGTGTACATTTTTCATTGGTTTGTTCAATGATTTACAGGTTATATCTCGCAGCTATGCACCAGAATGAAAATTGTCAACGTGAACAGGCAATACTACTGGACAGGCTGTGTACAAATTTGTATTTCCAAAAACGAAAAGGGGGGAATGCACAGCAAAACCAGTGAAAACAGAGCCAACATATGGTAAGTTGGATTTTTTTTTTATTATGAGTTCTTAATAACAAAATTACAAATAATTATTTATGAGAAAGTAAATATAAGCAGATTAAATAAATTATGAATAAATATCACAGTATAGTTGTTCCAAACATGTAATTGTTTTCTCAGAAAATTTTTTTTTTATTATTAGGCTACGTGAAGGACCTCATGGTCCTTGTGCTAGATGAGGTCTGTTTGGATCCAGCACCATATGTGGAAGAGCTGCAGTCCATTCCAGTTCCACCACCTCTTTCCTCTCAATTTGAGAAACCCTCAAAAGAGCATGTTATTTCACAGCATGTTTCAAGATTTAATCAAGGGGAGGCCGGAACCCAACATACTGTCCTGCTGCATTCGGAAACTCCTGGCGTATCCGGCGCACCACACATGACGGGATGACAACCCTCACTTCACGTCCTAGCCAGCCCCAGCACCAGCTAACAAAGCTGCGATATGACAGATAACGGAAACGCCTATGGCAATAAAAGGAAACAGATGTCAGCTTTGCATATCAAACCTTGCAATTGTACATATGTGTATATATTTATTGTCTATTTAAGTTTTTTTAAACTGGTTTTCAGTGATTTGTACTTAGTAACTTAAAATACATTTATTAACATTTATTAAAATACATTTTACAAAAACTTACTCTTCAACATTTCTGTGTCTCAACGGTCCATAGTCTGCCCTGTATATATTATTTATATTCTGTAATGTGTACATGTTTAAACAATTGGGTTCAAAACCAGGATGCTGCACCATGCAAGTAGGAGGGTCTGGAACCTGCATCATACGCTGGACAACCTAAACCGTAATGTATGACAATAATTAATTTCTGCGTGGTCAACTTGCATGTATCCTTTATGAAAAGTGCACTATTAGTCAAACTCAGAAACATTAATGAAAAGCCATTAATGCAATTACATTACCTTCTGTGTTTCTTTGCAGCAGATGTTTTCTACTTCTGTTGGCATTTTTTTCACAGTTATTACAAGTGCACCTAAAGAAAATTAAATGTATTCCCATAACAAAAAATTAGCTTGATTTTGTATATGTTGCCACATAATTATTGGTTGCTGTTATAACATTGAACATTCATCAACAAAACGGATAAAAACAAAATATTAAATATTGCTATTACCATTTACAAATGACAACCTATTTTGAAACTGACACTAGATGTAAAAGAAGAAAAAAAGATGTTATCAAGCCAACAGCACTTCAGAAATCCAGTGAAGACCGCAGCTATTCATTGTTTAGCACACATATTACTGTTACGGTAATTTCGTGACCGTTTTACTCAATAAAATATCATTCATATTATATATATATATATATATATATATATATATATATATATATATTATAACATATAATATATTTTCTGCAACGTATGTTTCATTATGTATGTACAAAACTGCGCTGTTTTCAGTATAGGTTCGTCCGTGCTTTCATTTTTGTAAGTATTATTTTCATTCATTTATTCAGCCTAGCCATAATTTATAAATACCTGAAGTGCGTTTTAATTTGTCCTAGCCTTATTACGATAGAATGCCATTACGATTGCATTTTTATGGCGTGGTTAAACCTCAGAAGTGAACGAGAAAACAAAGATCGTTTTACCTGCTCTCTATTACAAACGGAGACATTACAACCATCTTATAATGTACTATTTCCTATATACACTAGTATGGGATGTCATGTTTTTTATAAGTATCATTTTAATTTATTTATTCTGCATAAACATTTAGCTTTTATAATTACCTGAAGTGCGTTTTAATTAAGCCTTACTATGGTACAATGTTATTACGATCGCATTTTTATGGCGTGGTTAAACATCAGAAAGTGAACGAAAAACAAAGTAGTTACCTGCTAACGTTATCCATTAGAAAGGGAGACCTTACAGCCACCATATAAAGTACCATTTGCTATTTACACTAGTATGGAATGTAATTTGTACAAACTGACCATTACTGTGTTACTGTGTACTACTATGAAATGCTGATGGCTTGACCACATTCCTCTTACCAATGAACAAAACAAAAACGTACCATTCCGAAACATCTTGCAAAAGTCGCGTTAGCATTAGTTCAGCTGTGTCCTCTTCATTTTCTGTATCTGATTCGGGCTCAAACTGATACGGCTTCACTGACATTATTTACAGTCTGACGGACAGCATGCAAAAGAGGCATGACGTTTCCTGGTGACGTGATGCCGATCCACCAACCAAAACACATTAGGTTAGCTGACTAATCAGATCCCTTTGAGGGCAGGCTTTATAGAACAAACCAGGAAATATGATGGTCGTTTCCATGTTAGCTCAGTAGCTGTATAAATTGAAGGTAAGATCTGTGAACAAATAACGTGATTTATTACAAATGCATAATGAACCCACATTGTTTTGCACCCCATAAACACAACCAAAGCTTAAAAAAGCTATTGTGGACCACCCCTTTAAGTAAAAGTAGAGAATGTAATTGTAAGTAGAGAATGCATTGCTGGGTTTATTCATTTACTAAGTAAAAATGTATTACATAATTTTTGCTTAGTAATGGATTATACCCAAAACTGCCATGTTAGCTTAAAATGTATATTTATGAAATAAATAATATTTTTTCATAAAGGATTGATGAACCCTTAACTTTTTGGCACTGCTTTCAGGACTTCTATTCTCCATTTTTGTTAAATGTTACCTAGATTTTTCTCAAAATTAACAGAACACAAACATTGAGAGTGCAGTTCGAGTGTTCATGGACTGCATAAGAAACGAAAGGGATAAAACTCCACAACACACCTCTGCTCAGCCTTCTGCGACTGGTTCTACATATAGTCGACCTGTCAGACCAGCCTCAGTGCAGCAGGAGATGCAAAAGTAAGTGGTTGCTACAGCAGGACTGCTTCATTTTGGCAAAAATAAAAGTAAAGTACAGAGGGTCACATTTTTTAATACAATTTCTCACTTCATTTATACACAAAGATTGGATCATAAAAAACAACAATTGTTACTTTGTTTAATTTATTTGCCTTTATTTAAAATATTAAAACTTGCTTAATGTTTTTTTTTTCATATTCAAAGTAACTGTTACATTCATAATATTACAGTTTGCCATAACAGGTGATTTATAACTATTAAAAAGAGACACTCCTCGCTGCAGCCCGCAGCATGATGACATACTGGACCAGGTCAACTACGTAATGGAAGATCACCTAAACCTCCCCATTCCCTAAACCCAATCATCACAGTAGCATGCACGTTAATTTAGTGGGTGGTAGAAGGTGCACTACATGGTGGACCTGGTCCAGTACGTCATTGTGGTTACAGACAGCAGCAAGGACATCTGGATTAAAAAAGGGTCCTTTGATACTTAGAGGTTCATTTATTAATAACTGTCTATGCTTTATTCCAGATGCTTCCCATCACTTTATTCGGAGGCAAAAGAAAAAGGAAGTCTGGAGATGTTCCACGTATATCTGTGGTTAAGTTAGTGGAAGTTCAGTTCTGCCTGCAAGCTAAAAATACTGAAAAAAAACCCTAAAGATGAGGCAGTACTCTTGCAAGCAGGACTTGGAAGGAGGACCATAAATCTCTCCAATAATGCAGATCATGCAGACAGGGGCGTAGATTTAGGGTGGACGGTGGGGACGTGTCCCCACCAATATCCACAAACTACTGAAATGTCCCCACCAATAATTTAATTCACTTAAAAACATTGCGCTGTCAGTATAAACCTAGACATGCTGAAAGGGTTAAATCACGTTCTCTCCTCGAGTCGCACCGCCCCCAAACACATATGAACATTGTTTTTTATTGGCCTGCTGTCATGTGAGTGGCTGCTTTCAGATCATAGTTTCAGATATGGGGAATTACTAAGGCTAATTGACCAAAATATGGGTGAATCAAATAAATATCCATATTATGCATTGTTGAAAAACAGAAGAAACATACATGGGAAATGCTACTACACTCACTCGTAAATTGCTCTTTTGCAGTGCCAATAGTGGACCTAAATATTAAATGCCTGGAGGGGACCTTTAGTGTTTTACTGTGGAGGGAGGCAGCTTTGACAGAGCTTTTTGTGGGTGATGAGGTCCTCATCTACGTCCCTGCGTCCAGGAAACAGGAATTGGAAAGTTCCATTCTTCAAATTACACAACTGTGGAGGTACATGTAAAACATTTCTATATTACAACAAACTGAGACAGTGTTGGTACATTGAAACTATATATATATATATATATATATATATATATATATATATATATATATATATATATATATATATATACTATATATACTATAACTATATATATATATATATATATATATATTTTTTTTTTACATACCTAGATTGCAGAGGGCCAGATGCAAGAAACGGTCGTTGAAGTGATCGGGGTGTCCAATGTCAATCACACTTGCCACTTCCTGGGAAGTGACAGTGAAGTATACGTGGTTCCTCAGATCGTTTTTTCAGGAAACCCTGATGACCTTATTGCCAGGCTCCCGCTGCATTTGGCTTTAAAGCATGTCAACAGGCGTGTTTTTGAAATTAGTGAAGTTTCTGAGTAATTTTATTTAACTTTACAATGTTTGTTTTTTTGTTTTGTTTTTTAATAATCACTAATCAATCTTTTCTACTTCTGTTCTGTTCTACTTCTGTTCAGTTCCTCTTTTATTAATTGTACAGTTTAGTAAGTTTACAAGTTCACAAGTTAACAAGTAAAATATGAAATGTGTTTTACAAAAAGTGTTGTCTTTCATTACCCACAATTGCCCAATTTCAAATTTAACGTCTTAAGTTAAGCTAAAAACATACAAATTTATGCTAGAATAATGTTAACACTACGCTAATAAATGGTTAAATATAAAATTGATGTTATCAAATTAGTATCGATTTTGAGACATTCTGGTATCCAAATCCAAAATTATGGTATTGAGCGATCCCAATCTTCACACTTGGTTTCATACGTATTAGGGATGTCATCTTAGTAAAATCATTTTAAAGACAGGAACTTATTAAAACTATTTGCCATTTTTTGTGAGAAAAGCTATTCCACTATTTTTTACAAACAGAAACTCACATGTCTTTAAAGAACCTGTCAAAAAAACAAAACATCAACACTTGAACACGTCTCCCCAGGAAATGCAGAGTACCTCATTGCAAGGCTCCCATTGCACCTAATTATCAAACACCTTAATTATAGCATTATAGAAATTAAAGCAGGTTCATAGGTGTTATTTTCTTTTACTTGTTTTGATATTAAGTTTACTTAATTATATAAAAAATAAATATATATTTTTTGTCTCTTTTGAGGTTTAATTTAAGCCTTTGTTATCTGTTATTATTTCATTTCATTGTATCCCCTGTACATGGTATAAAAAAACAGATTTATTTAATTCAAAATTTTAAAAAAGTGTTGTGTACTCCATCACTATTGCCAAGTCTTAAAAGCATGTATTTGAAATCAGCAATTATACTACTACTAAAAACAGCAGCAACAAGATTAATAATAGTTTTGTAAAGTTTTGCATTTAATAAAAAGGTATAATAATTTGCCTTCCATTAAAAAAGCATTACTGCAAGAAACTTCTGATTTTAGCATAGAACATGTAATTTTAATAAACATGAATCAACAAATGGTCTGCTGATAAAAAAAATAAATAAATACTGTGAAAAATTATCTTTGCTACTGTTGAATATAAGTGTAGACTTTTTACATTTAGCAATCTTGGACAACACATTTTCATTTTCAACTAATGATTCAATAACTCAAACTTTGTTTTAATACTAGTTGTCTAACTTTTGAAGAACTATTCAGTAAACCTTTTGATGGCTGTTGCTATCTTTTGGTTTAACAATGTAACTGTTACAACTGCTTTGTATAACAAACATCTGTGTTTATATCCGAACTATACACTGTTACCGCAGCTGAAAAATACACTGTTAGACCTTACCGGGCTTTTTTACAGTAGAATACTGGCGACACTGTT